TGGCAATCCCATGAATGAAAGTCCTCCAAGATGTCCTGTCCATGACATCCCTGGTCACCCTTATACAGGAATTCAAATCCTCTGTCCATTCAAATACACCCTGCAAATTGCCCTTGGATGAAGCCTGGCCCAGAGGAAAGCTCTTCAAATCATGATAGCTCATCCCACAGCCTAGTGGTTAGGAGGCCTGCATGTGAAATCACGGATGATAGACAGCAGTCCCTACTGCTCCTTGAGAAGTGCTTGAGTCCCCCTGTAGTGCCAATTATGCATATGCAATGTGTATTTAGCTACACATAAGGTATTGGGGTGTGTGTGAGAGGAATGGATGTTTTGCAAGAAAAGGGGTTGGAGAGCACACACTGATGGACTGCCTGCACTGCTGTATTAGACACATGCCTGTGAGCTGGCTGGTACTTGAGTGGAAAAAAGCAATGCAGTGTCAAATAGATGATGTAAAACTTCTGGACACCTTTTGGGGAACATGCTAATAATATCAGTAAGGGCCAAAGTACATATGATTTTGTTCTGGTTTTTAAATGTATAATGTATATGTATAATGAAGAAAAAGCAGTTGTGGAGCTCTGATCTGGAATATGCTTTTACTTTGGATCAGGACCCAACACTGCTTTCCTGCTGAAAATTCACAGAATACATCACTTTTGGACAATTAGTTTCTGCAGGAAACTGGTAAACCCTCAATTTGTATCTGAAGTGCTTGTCAGCTACTTCCTCTCTAATGTAAGTGTAAGGCAGGAAGCTTTATTTTGTTGCTTCCATTACATCCTTGAGTAGCCATCCAGCTAATCTTTTCTGACTGGGTTGCTTTCATCTACCCTACCAAACCCAATACTGGAGCTTCTGGAGGCCTGCTGTGGTAAGTTTGCCAGACACTTGGAAGATCATATTGCCCCCATCCCTATGCTGACTTGAAGAATGCTATTGTTGTAGTGTTTGCTGGCATGCCCAGTACATTGTCTTACGTACTTTTACAGGATCAGTTTCAGGTTTTGGAGACTGAAAATGTGGGTATCTCAGTCCACCATGTGCTCTTTCAACCTCCATAGCTTCTTCACTCTATCCATGGGGTTCTGACTAGATAGATTAGGGGAGTGATGAATGCATAATTACATGATGGTGTGGTCCCTACTGCCTTGAAGGAGACAGTGTGGTGACCACTGAATATGTAAGAATATGCTTTACTTGGAAAATCTCTTGAGTGGACAAAAAAGCTATCAGAAAAGCCCATAATCTGTAATTTATCTTTTATAGCTTTGCAATGCTGACTGTTGTAATTGTCTTTCTGAAGGAGGGACACATATCCTGATTTACAGCTTGCATAAGCACATTCTAAGCAGTATCTAAATGCCCGGCACCATGCAATACATTCCACTGATGAGAATCCAGTCTCAAGTCATAAAACTGCTGATGGAACACAGGACAGTACACCAAAAAGTTGAAGCAAAAAGGCTGAACATATTTGTTCTAAGGTGGGGGAAAAGCTGGAACTCCAAATAAGAGTTACATCAATTAGCCTTAAATACTTGTAGCATAGCAGGAATATACCATTCTCTTCTAATATAAAAATAACAGACTATCACTTTGGCACTGTTAGATGCTGATTGTAAAGCTGACTTCCAATGGACAACCCAAGAACCAGACAATTGGAAAACAATCCTCAGTTATTAATTTTTTAACTTGTTGTATAGACTAACCACCTATAACCCACTTATTCAGAGAGAAACTCCTAGAAAAGACCATTATTTTTGGTGTTATCAAAATTAATAAAGCATTTTCATTTATTTTGTTGTAAATTGCCCAGAGAGCTTCAGCTATGGACAGTATAAAAATGAAATAAACATTACAATAACAAACAGATAACACATCTATACATAAACAGTCTTCTATGCGTAAATGCTATGGCTGAATCAATTAATTGATCATTAATCTGTATTTCAGTTTTAAGGGGGACTGAAAGGGTGAGAGAAACAGGCAAATGATCTATTGCTTTCCAGTCTGTCCACCACAAAGAAACTATAAATCAAGGCAAAAAGATGCACCATTTCATAATCAACTGTACTGCTAACTTTCCCTATATGTATAGTCACCACATTGCTCAAAATGTAGATTTCCATGAAGAATTCTAAGAGTAAGTTGACCAGCACCTGAGCTAAGCATATGACCTCACCAAGATTCTTTGAACACCTATAACTGTTAAATATATAATCCTGAAATTCAGTCAGGCATCATTATTAGACCTTCCTTCCCTCCTCCCTTCCTTTGGGCATTAAAGGGCTCCATCATGACTCCATGAGCTGAAGGATACTGGGACACTAAGTCTACTGTGTAATTTTCCAGGTTCTCCCATTCCTGATTAGTTTGGTTTATTGTGGGTATGGGAGGGATGTAGACATTAACAAGCAGAAGGCTCAATGAGCCAAAATGATTAAGCGAGATTATGCAGTAAGACCAGTGTGGGAGGCACTTGATGGCAGCCTGGGGGGAAGTAAAGATCAAAATGGATAACCGGAGGCACGAGCCAGTGCTATGCACATTGCACAACACAAGTGGGACCTACAGTAGCAGTGACTAGTAGTTCTGTGCGGAGTTGGTTGCTTTTTCCTTCATGGGCTCCTTTGCCTTTGAGATGTGCATGATGGACATCTCAATACAGTGGGTACTGCAGAACCCAACAGAAGAACACAGTGAAGAGAATGCTGTATATGCCATGCAACTTTCAAAGGCGCAAGAGAAAAAAAGTTGGCAACACTGTGTTTTTAGAACATGCTCCACAGCTGATACTAATAAGGCTGTGTGTCATTTAGCCATGTCTTTATCCTTCTGGTGATTAGCCAGATAAGGAATCTCTCAATTTTTATTCAGATTAGAGCTTTTCGGTGTGGGCATACAGCAGTATGTGGGTTTACCACCATTACACCATGCCAGGACAAAGAATTTACATCATGCCCACCAGATGTTTCAGACTACAACTTTTGGCATTTCCTAACCACTGGGCATGCTGACTGGGCTGGATAAAGGCTGATGTTTGACACATCTGGAAATCTCTGGCCATATCACTGGAGCATCAGCAATTGAGGAGGAGGAGGTCCAAGCAGTTCAATGTCCTTTAGTCTCCCCCAGCCTCCAGATACTACTTGTGTAAGCCAATGTGCTATTGGTTTACATTGGCTTGGGGTGAATGATGAATTGGTAATTAACCAATGTAGTCAACTTGCAAACAACCATATTAACATGTGTGAAGTGGGCTGCAAATTTGGTTGGTGCATATGTATATTTGTTATTAGTTTAGAGACTTTTTCATTGTGGATGGTATTCTCTATTCAATGCAAGCTTAGTTCTGGTATGTACAGAAACTGGCTGTGTGAAAAGCAGAGTTTTGGGTGTGGTGGGTATTTCACAGCTTTCAAGAATTGCTATGAAAATGAAAGAATGAGATTATGGATCTATATAGTGATTAAACTCTCAAACCTGAACTAAAAGGATAAATTTCAATATATCATTTTTAAAAATTTAAGGTTAAGGTTTATGGCTGCCACAATTTACTTTGGTGGTGCTATCAAATTGATTGAATGTTTGATTTGATATCTTTAAGATATTCTCATTGTAAGATATAAATAAATGGGCTGTCACTAATAATTCATGAAGTGGAACAGGCAGCTTGAGTGTTAAAAGCCATCACCAACGTATTTCCTGCCTTAGGGAGTATCCAGACCAAAGGCTGACAGTGTCAGGACAACACAAGTTTGACCAAAGCTAAATGTGATTGACAAATCAGAGCAATTTTAAGCAAAGCTGAGAAATATGACATTGCATCACTCATGCATCTCATGTGTTGCAAACTGATTTCAAACATTTAGGAAATAGTGCCATTGTGGTTGCTCATCAAATCCCTGTATAGAATCTGAATTTCACTCTTCCGCCCTACCAGACTGCATCAACATTAAACTCATTAGAAAACTAGTGACTTTTATTTGTTTGGGATAATGGCAACATTCAGAGTCTACCAGCAAGCATCTGTCTTTGTTAATTCTAATGCAACCAGCTTTTTATAGAGTATGGCCAGAACTAAGATTTAAAAATAGATGTTTGCAGGTAATTCATTTTGCATCTCTAACAATTATGTCCAGATTCTGCTTTGAGAATGCTGGCCCAGATGGCCTTATTGACCCTTCCAACTCTATTATTCTATAATTCTAATATAATAATACTAGAACGGGAAACACTGCAGTCATATGAGGACGGGTATGATATGGATCAAGAAAAGCAGCCTCATCTCCCTGCAGGCCTTAACCAGCGATGGCTTCCCGGTATTTTGCCTTCTGCTCACCAGGCAGATTTCTTTTTCAGCCCTAAATGTTTCAGACTCCTCTCGCCTCTACGTAGCCTTCTCCAGGGCTTTAGTCCCACACGTCGGGGTGGAGACAGTATGGGCAAAGCGGGTAACTGCGGGAGTACCTCGAGCAAGTAACATCTCGCACAGCTCCCTTGTAAACTGGTTTAGGATCGCAGCCTTCACCTCGGAACACCTGAGTTGGAGAGCAAGGGGGTTCTCTCTCAAGCTCCGGAGACACCCCCAGTTTAAGAGAGGGAAGAAGCGACCACGGCCGTATCCCAACGTAAGCAGAAGCACCAAGAAGCCTAAAGGAAAGATGACCAAAGGCAGCCCCGTCTAGTGGGATTCCACGCAGTAGCTTAAAGAATCCGAGACCGTTGAAAGAGCGAGGCAGGCTGATTCAGCGACTCGCTGACTGAAAGCCCAAATGCTTGGCAGAGACTGCCTTCCCGTCCTCCCTAAGAGAGAGAAATCCACCCCTTCAGGGAATCCACTCCCTCCCTAACACGCCCAGTAACTGAAGGCCCTGCATGTACTACTAGTATCCACCTCAGTGGCTCCGCCCCTTCTTGGAGCCGTTGCCCCACCTACCTCCCCAATTCCCATTCCCGAAGATTGCCGAACGGAGAGGGGGTCGCGACGAATCGCGGCGGCTGTTACGGAGTTTCCGGAGATTACCGAAAGGCTTCGGCCTCCCTTCCTCCGTCTTCGTCCTCCCACGTCTCCTGTGGCGGCTACTACTGCGGCCGCTTGCCGTCGGCTCCTCGGTTCTTTTCGGCGCTGCCCGGCGGGCGCGAGTCGGCGTCTAGTTCCTTCGGCGGAGCCTCTCGCCAGCGTTGGCCACTAGCGGGTCCCTTGCCGAGACAGAGAGACCCCCTTCCCACACGCCTCTGGAGAGTCCTGGCCGGACCGGACGGGCGGGCTGACTGGGCCTTCGCTCAGCTATCGTGACCGGTGGTCGAGTGGTGGTGGTGACTGTGAGGCGAGACAGGCGGCTGCGCTCCCCCCTCTAGGGGAAGCGGGGCGGCCGGGGGTCCGGTTCGGATGGCGGAGGGCATCCCACACCAGCCGCTTGTGCCCGGCGTCGGCGTCGCAGCCCCTCGAGGGGTCAAGCGGGAGCCCGAGCTGGAACAGCCAATGCCCGGAGGGGACGGAGCCGAGAGCGGCCAAAGCAAGAGGCTGCGGACCGAGGTGGAGGCGGACGGAGGAGGCATGCAGGTAGCGGCGGCGGCGGCTCCCGCAGCCCCTGGGGGCCTTGAGGGGCGCACTTGCTCCCGCCCGGGGAGGCCCCGGGCGCGCGTGCGTGAGGGCGCGCGTGCGCGGCCAAAGCGCGCTCCTGGCGGGCATCCGTTGTCGGAGGAGCCTGATGAGGAGCACTGCTTTGGGAGGATGCTAGCCCGTTGGGCCAGGCAGGTTAGCGCCAGGCCTCGCTGCAGGCGTGGACGGGGGGTAAAAACCCTAAGGGCTTCTAGGGAGCATGGGGGACCCAGCGGGGCGCCCAAGTCCCTCAAGACTTGAGAGGTGGAGAGCCGGGGAAAGAAATTGTGTGGCCTGCTTCAGGTCAATAACGCCACCACCCGCAGGAACAACAAAAAATGCTACGTGCAAAGCACTTCTCTGTAGAAAATGGCGTGTAACCTACGTGTAGATCGTCACGTGTGATATTTGCACACAGACATGCATTTCGTTGCATGTACATTTGCTGAGAAGCTGCCATTGGACTTTTTTTAAAGGAAGAGTTGGGATGCTGAGTGTATATGGGGTGGGAAGGTTTGAGCCAGCTCCACAAAGCATGGAACAGCAAGTTATATTTTTATCGAAATCTTACTTTCTTTATTCCTCTTGAAAGTTTCTTAGGCTTTCCTTTATGTCCTGTGTGGGAGAAGTGCAGTTAGTGTTTTATGCAACTGTTTTGAGCTGATGTGTTCTAGTGTCTAAGATTGCAGCCATATGCACATTTACTTGGGAATAAGGAAGCAGTCATGTATGCACTTAAACTGGGAATTAATTTTGCTTAACTCAAAGGACTTCAGTAGACATAAACAGGATTAGACTAATTTAACTCTGTGTTACTGCCTTTTGAGTAGAAATGCCTAGGTTTGCACTGCATATGAGGTAACTGAATTTGTGGGGCAATTGAAGCTAGCTATAGTGAAGTTTTCACTTAATTGTTAAGGTGATACACTGAAATCTTTCACACTGTAGTTCTCCCCGGTCAGTTAGTATGCTGTGCAGCTGAAGCCTAGCTGACAGTTTGTAGTTATTCAAATGTGGGGGAACTTGCCACAAAGCTGGTAACTCCAAATATGGATTTACTGCGTGGAGGAAAGCCCAGTGTGAGGTTTAATATACTTATTGCTTGAGCACTCTTGCATATAAAATCCCATAGCATACAGGTCTCAGATATCGTTATTGCTTTTAATGCTTTTTTTTTTTTGCTGCTTTTACTGCTTTTAAGAAGTGCTAACCTTAGGAATAGTGACAGATTCTGCCAATAAGAGGAGAGGGACCCTCCAGTTATGTATCTGATTCACTCAGTGTCAGTGCCATTCTGCCCTATCAAAAAGAAACTAAAGTAGCTGAAATTTACAACTTCATTCATCTCTTTGACAGCACCCACCATAGTAATGGTAATAGAACTCCCGAACTGGATGCTTGAAAAAAGCTGTCAGTATTTATTATTCCAAGATATTCCATTCCTACAATATACCGTATCTTACTCTACAGCATCACAAATCCATTGATTATAATGAATATCTTTTCTCAAAACATCACAGCTCAGTACAGCCACATATGAGGATTGTGGAGAACTGTAAGTCAGAATCTTAAAATATGGCTTGATATTGGCTTATTATTCCTAGCTTGAGAACAACAAGCCAGGATCCCCTATTTGAATGACATACTAAACTCTTCTTGTTTGTTTAATGGTTGCACTTGTGGGAGGAGTAAAAGTGGAATATAAGTAAACATTGCAGAGAAAGAGACTACTTCTTTAGTAAGCATTCATTTTCTAACAATTATTATTATTAATTCATTTCTATACCAGCCCTAGGTGAAGCTCTCTAGGTCATTTACAGCAAACATGGATTTGATTTAATCAGTGACATTACCGAATGACATTACTTGCACTACTTGTTTCTGGGACAATCCAGAGGAAATCAGTTGATGCAGACATTCCACAGATGATGTAACATAAACTTGGACTGGGAATTTTAAGTATGGGGAAAGAATGACTAGCCTCTTGAAGAATAAAGAAATCAAGTCTGCCATTATTCATGGTTATGCAGAATATATGTAATATCATTTCTACCTTCTCTATCCTACCACATAGTCTGTGGGACAGGTTTATTCCAACTCCCAAGCTGAATCTGGAAGAAAACAACCATGCAAACCATGCCAGCCCAGCTCTCTGTTAGTTTGCACAATAAAAACAGTACAGATTGCAGTAGATCTACAGTTTAATAAATTGAGGGAAGGCTTCATTCATAAACAGGCCTGTCATTTCTGTCATATTATATCTTACACTGCAGAATGGCCTCTTGATGTTACATTTTGTGTTGGATTGCTTTATGTAGTGGCATTCTGCTGAAACAGGTTATAGATGGAAGAAATGAATACAATGTTTGTTGCTGAGCATATGGGCTGGATCACATGTTACACTAAGCCACCCTGAAAATAAGTTATGCTAGATTGGTTGTTTACTCGCTAACCCACACTACTCCCAACAGTTATTGGGAACTCTGCAGCTTGCTGTGGCTTGTTCCCCCTTAGTCTTTCTACCTTATTTTGTCCTGTATACCATGGGCCTTTGTGGCACAACCTCCTCCTATATCCTCATGTATACGGAAGGAAACTTTTTAGGCTTCCCACCCTGCTCCAATTGCTATGCTTTCTCTGTGCTGTTTTTCCAGTCGCAGCTTTTTTCTGGTGCTTCAGAAGTACGCACACACAAATATATTTCTGAACTTTGGAGGTGTGGCTTTCCATACATTCTCCTGTTTGTTGTTTAGTCTCTTCAACAATACAGATCCAGTATTACTTCTGTGTTGCTTGAAATACCACTAGTCAATTTTATCCTCTTATTGTATTATATCTTGAGCTGATACTTGTCAATTTCTTCCCTCACTCACTCCTTGACATTCCTTGCTTGACCCCAAACCTTGAAAGCAGCAGCTGAATGGAACAGGTATAGGTGGATGTAATTACTGCTGGAACATGGGTATACTAATTGTGGAAGTGTAACCAAGCTTATTGCAAACATGCAGTCTTATTTTATATTTTACTTTATTTTTCTGTCGTTCACAAGTGTGAATTTGCAGTTATTTTCATAAGTCATGGAGATGCTTCTGGTAACCTAAGAAGAGGAGAATTTTGAAGACTTATAGAAGTTGCTTCTATAGTAGCATAAAATGAGTTTTGTTTCTTGTTGGCACCCTGTTTTTATGTTTTGTGAAACCCTTTATAAGAAATGGAATGGGATTTTTTCTTTGGCTATTATATGCTGTGGTAAACCTATTTAGAAACCATAAGGGAAATTATTTTTAAAATAATAGTTTTGTATACATTATTCTAAGCTATGAAGTTAGATTTAGTGTCAGAAAAGGAGCCTAAATTGAAACAGATATTTAACAGAAATATATTACCCTGCTGAGCTTTGCTTGGGTAAGTAAGTGGGTGGCCTCAATGCTAGCTGCTGTTGCTGATACTGACAGTGCCCTGCTCTTTGAAACAGTATGATTTATTCATCTCAATTTGTTATTTTCTGCTGCAGCCTATAAGGTTCTAGTAGGTGGTCCCAAGTTGATTGGACACTGTCTTGCTGAAGCACATTGAAGCAGCAGCTTTCTTGAGTTTGTTCCATTGTGTGTTTCTCTGATTACTTCTCTATAGTTAATCAAAGAAGTTTTCTATTTGTTTACAAGGTTTGTTTATAGAGCAGATTTTTAAATTTTATTTTAGACACTGAAGGTTAAATTGCTTGCCTTGCAGACTTTTGGAAAAGATGGTTTTATCATTATGTGCCCTCTTTTTTGTGCAGAAGGAAGTTTAAATAATGCTAAAGTAATTTAATAAGTTTTAGTAATGCTGGAAGAAAGTTGATGGAAGAGACTTGAATTCACAGAGAACATACAGTGATGTTCTTAGTTCCCATCCACTATACACTGATTATGTTGTAGGCCTGAAATTTAATGTATTTCTGGTGATATGGGAAGAGGAATGTTTGTGTTAGGAAAGGAAGAATAGCATAAAGTGATTTTTATAAGACTTTGAAATAATAATTTTATATTAAAACAGGTTATATCCAATGGTGTTATGTTGTTAGTGCAAAGCTTCTACTTCTTGTGGAAATGGTTTTTGCTCTTGTGCAAGAAATAAATGTAATATTTTGATTTTGCTTGTTCAAGCTGTTGCACAGTACATTAAATTAGGTATATCTTGTGCTAGTTGTGTTTCGTTCTGATAGCAGCTGTGTGACTGATGGCAAAACAACATTAACACATTTATTAGTGTAATATTGGATACAATCCACAACTCCTAACCCTAGCTGAATGAAGTCAATAATTTGAGTAATGCCTTGTACATATGGAATCAAAGTATTGGATTTGATATCTACAGAAGGAAAAAAACAGGTTTCTGCAAGTGGTAGAAGCTTTATGCTAGCATATTAACACTGTTATATACAACTTAGAGTTTGTGTGAAATCAAAAGCATCCAACATATCTGATGGGATATGTGCAAGAAAATGTATTAAGATGGAAATAATATTCTGTTAGTTAAATCCTGCTGTTTCTGTACATGTATTGCAGCAAATGTTGCAATACATGATGATTTTTTTCCTGTAATATTTGAGAAAAAATAAATAAAATGGTTTAAATGTTACAATGTATAGATTTTAATGGGCTAACTTGTAAAAATATTGTCAAAAAATTGAGAGCATCTTACAGGGTATCTTGTCCTTCCTGGAGAATGAGCTCTATCTCATACACAGTAATAGCTTTACTCTTAATGACAGAACATGAATGATGATCAGATTCCTTTGCATGAATTATTACTGCTCATGGCATAAAATCAGCATGGATTGGGTGCTTCCTCACCATATACAGTACACGAGCCCCTTTGGTCATGGGTATTCTTTTTCATGCACTACAGTAGTTATGATGACATTTGTAATCTTACATTATTGGACTTCACAGCAGTTACCTGACTCCTGATCATTC